AGAAGTTTGTTTGTGAATTGAAAAGGTGTGTTCTCATTTGGATGTATCACTCGCGCGTCCCACTCCTAAGGTAAGGAGTCTTCTGTTTGTTATAATTTTTGTAGAAATAAATCACATATATTGGTTGAAAGTTATTTGGGAATTCTTTGATAATTACTTTGTCAGGTTATAGGGGGCCACTCTTCTTTTTCATCAATCGAGCTGCTCCCCCTCGTTTCACTCGTCTAGCCCTCTTCACAAACTTGTACAAGAAACAAGCAACGATTTGGTATTAGATATCCAGAGATGTGGAAAGAACATACCGATAGAATGAACGAAATACAAACAGTTAATATAATATGATCATAGATCTTAGGTTGTAACTGTTGGGAATTTTGAATACCAGAATCCTACATAAATGGAAATTATAAAGAAATTGAGACAACAATTTAATATGGTTTGACTTATACACCTTTCAATAAGTTTACGTCTACAGGAAAGAAAGAAATAAATCTATTGTTAAAAAAAAGAGTACAATAATTTAGAAACTCTCTCACTCAAGAAACTCTTAACACTTTAACTTCAATGTATATAAACTCCCAAATTCTCCTTAATACTCTTTCTTAATCTACACTAGGATTTCTCACAATTTCTCTTTCTTTTCTCTCATAAGAGCTCTCACTCAATTTCTCTTGCTTTCTTCTACTCTTGCTTGCCTATAGCCTTTGCATGCCTATAGCCTTTGCATGCATGAGTATTTATAGTGAAAAATCCAACCACCCATGCACCATTTTTCTTTGTCTCATTACCACCCGTCCAAGACTTTCTTTGCTTATTAAATGGGTCAACATGCAATCTTGAAAGATTTCAACAAAGCAATCTAGCCCACAATTGGCTTATAGGTCGGTGAAGTAAACTTCCACATGGAAAGTCCATGAGTCCACATGCATGGGGTTGGACTTGCTACCAACAATCTCCCCCCTCCAACCCCGTGGGAGGAGAAACCAACCATGACTCAGCTCCCCCTGCTCAAAAACACTTCACCATGGTGTCCTATTTTTGAGAGTTTCCTCCTAGTATAGGATAGGACAAACCTACACTAGGTGCACTACAGAAATTAATTTTGAACCAAGATATGATCTGAGGGAAAATCACACCTCCTCGAACCATTATCAAACACCACTTCATTGTTGAAGCTCACCTTCTTCTTAGTCTTATTTATTTCCTTGCCATCTACCAAGATCCCTTTAGGCTTCCACACCATCTTCCTCATGGTCTTGTTAAGCCCTCTCTCGAGATGTTGCTCAAGCACATAGATGTTGTGCTTGTTCTTCCTTCCACGCAGAATAAGTCTTCCACCATTGTAGACCTTGCACCATTCTCACTTTCCAACATACTTATACCCTCATGTTGTCAACTCACTCAAAGCAATAATGTTGCTTGAAAACTTGGGCACATATCTCACATTCTTGAGAATCTTGGCTGTCCCATTGTGAACATTGAGACAAACATCTCATATGCCTTCAATATTCACCTTCTCGTCAATAGTTACCATTATTTTGCCAAGCTCCCCTTGAACCAAACTCACAAATTTTGAAGGATTATTGCACATATGCATGGTTGTAGCGGAGTCCAAATTCCACTTCTAATTATTTTGCTCCACCTTAGGATCACACTCTTCACAAGCTAATACTTCAACCATATTTTCTTCAACAATATTAGCCTCCCCCTTGCCCTTGGTTTCTTGACTTGTCATCAATATTTTCATATTAGAAAAGTCATTCTTAAACTTCGAGCATTTATATTGTTTGTGACTCAACTCACCACAATAAAAACACTACACTTCATCATAATCCTTCTTAGGTTTGGATTTCGACCTTTCTCGATTTCCTCCACCTCCATGTCCATTGGCTCTTCCCCGAGAGTGCTCCATCACCAAGGCATTATTTTGATTGGCACCATCAACCTCCCCGAGAAACTTATCATTCTCCAACAACATGGTCGTGACATCTTTCATCACCAAAGTAGTCTTACCCACTAGCATGCTCTGCACTAGGGACTTATACGACTTGAACAAAGATGCAAGTAAAAGTAAACCCTTCTCTTCTTCTTCTAGAATATCTCCAACATTCACTACTTGTGTCACCATCATGTTGAAATCAGATAAGTGCTTGTGAATATTAGTGCCTATTTCACCTCTGGTGCAAGCGCCAATCGAATTTGACTTGTTGCCTTCTTTTGGATAATACTCTAATCACTATCCTTCATCTCAACTGGCTTGGTCTCTTCTAAAGCTGCTTCAAGTCCTTGACAAGTAAGGACATCCTTCAGAGTGCTTTGCCATATAGCAAAGTTACTCTTGCCATCAAACAACTCAATTGAATACTTCATGGCTTTAGTTTGCATTTCGCCACAACACCAAGAGCTCTACCAATAGCTCTGATACAACTTGTTGGGAATTTTGAACACCACAATCTCACACAAAAGGAAGCGATAAGAAATTGAGACAACAATTTAACGTGGTTCAACTTGTACACCTTTCAACAAATCTACATCCACAGGAAAAAGAGAAATAAATCCACTATTAAGAAAAAGAGTACAATAATTTAGAAGCTCTCAACACCCTAACTTCAATGTATAGAAGCTCCCAAATTCTCCCTAATACTCCCTCTTAATCTACACAAGGATTTCTCACAATTTCTTTCTTTCTTTTCTTTCACACTCAATTTCTCTTGCTTTTTTCTACTCTTGCTTGTCCATTACCTTTGCATGCATGGGTATTTATAGTGACAAATCCAACCACCCATGCACCATTTTTCTTTGCCTCATTACCACCTGTCCAAGATTTTCTTTGCTTATTAAATGGGTCAACATGCAATCTTAAAAGATTTCGACAAAGCAATCTAGCCCACAATTGGCTTATAGGCCGGTGAAGCAAACTTCCACATGGAAAGTCCATGTGTTCACATGCATAGGGTTGGACTTTCTACCAACAGTAACTTAATCAATAGGGAACTATTAAATTCAAGTTTGGTGTAGTCCACACAAAATTTGTATTCCTCTTAAAAGTCAAAATTAAAATTTTGAAGAAATTCAAAATTTTTTTTGAAAAATTGTTTTGAAATGTTTGAACTATATAGTTTAAATTTTATGAAGGTTATAGTTCCATTTTGATCCCTAAACTATTATACAAATCCTTGATTTGGTCCTCAAACTTAAAAATTCCTAATTTGGTCCTCATTGTTTACCATTTTAATCCCGACTTGGTCCTTTTGTTAAAAACCTCATTATGTGTTCTGTTAATTCATAGCTATATGATGACATGACAAAATATTAACACACATGGAAGACGATTTGATAAAAAATAAT